GCGTTGTGGGGGGAAGGAGCCTTCCGGCCCCAAGTCGGCTTCCTTAACCACTAATCCACCACTGCCCCAGTGGACAGTGTCATGTCCCCACTGACTGTTGTCCACTGATTTGCCATAGAGCCTTATCTGATGGACGTACAGTACAAAGGCCTGTGACTGTGTGGAAAACTTTAGTGTCCACTCTCGCTGACTTTCGACTTGTTCTCCGCCGTGTTCTTCTTGCGCGTTCTCCGTGTGCGTCGCAGCATAACCAGGCTCCTGTCTCTCCAGACTCCTCTCTATAAATGCCGACCCACTGAGCTAATTTAATAAAGGCCTTTCTCTGTGGTTCCACTGAGACTCGGCAGGTAATTAAACCCACAGCCGGGCACACGTGCAGACGCTGTTATTACTGGATACAGAATTGGATGGGAGTGTGCCCGAGGGTTACCGCGCCGCGGAGCGTCCTGTCTCCTGCAGCAGGACCAGGAGGAGAGCCGGGGTCATTAAGATTGCCTACCCGCCAACAACAGGCCACACTTTGGATCGTTTTCCCTCTCGCATCCAATCAGAGGGATAATGTCAGCTGAGGCTCCTCCCCCTCTTTCCTGTCTCTACCACCTGTCCAAACTCTTCCTCTCAGTCACTGAGTTGACGCCGGGGTTCCGTGATTGGCTGCAGGGAGAGGGGAGACGATGTAATGGAAAAGAGCAATAAAGAATCAGGATGAAACATCTGAACGCCTTCATTTAAAGCCCTAGTGTGTTTTTAACTGGTTTCATTATAAGTGCCAGACGCGGGCACACTCACACACACACACACACACATCGCCAGGCGGGTGCGTGCGTGCGCGCTCGTGTTATTTCATTATTAAGAGGAAGAAGGAGAATTGTCCAAAGACTTTTAATTGGATTGCTAAAGCACTTTCTTAATTGAGTTCTGAAATCTCCTCGATGTTTAAACGCGTTGGTCTTTATGCCGCGTCTCTCTCACTCACTCTCTCTCACACACACACAAACACCTAAATGGAGCCCAGGGGGTCAGAGGTAGCTGAAGAAGATGAGGTTTGATGAGGTTTGATGAGAACAAACTCGGACGCTTCAGTAAAAATTCAATTTGAACGTCGTCACATCTACGACTTAATTTTAACCATAATAGCTTCGCCTTTAGTGTTGCTTTAATTAAGTTTTCACATTATTGCTGTTGGCGCACACACGTACACACACGCGCACTCACAAACGCACGATGACACACACACACACACACTCCATTTTGCGCGTTTGTGTGTGAACGCCTCCAGCCTTGACCTCCTGTCATCTGTGACTTTCGGACTCCAGATTAATTCTGTCTGACAGCTTAACACTATCTGGTTAAGAGTGGAGTGATCTGACTGCATGTGGTCAGTTCTGTGGTCAGGGTCTGCTCGGGCTCTGGTCTGGTCTGGTGTGGACAGACGTGCCGTTAGGTGTGATTTTGGTTCGGTCCGCTCTGGTTAGGTGTCGTCAGGTCTGGTCTTTTTGGGTTCCGGTGTGGTCTGGTTAGGCATGGTCCGCTCTGGTTAGGCGTCGTCAGGTCTGGTAGTGTGGGTTCCGGTGTGGTCTGGTTAGGCATGATCTGATCTGGGTCGCATGGGATCTCGTTGGGTCTGGTCTTTTTGGTCCCTGTAGGGTCTGGTTTGCTCGAGTGATCTTGTTAGGTATTGTTAGGTGTGAATTTGGTTTGGTCTGGCCTGGACAAGTCCTTTCCTGTGCTGCTGGTACAGCTGGTGTTTCACGCTTCGGCCCTGTGTGTGACTGAGGTGTGTGACTGAGGTGTGTGACTGAGGTGTGTGACTCATTCGTGCCCCTGTCAGTCGCACCATTGTTGATTGTTCAAATCGCTCGTCTCTGCCTGATTAACACCGTCATGTCATCTGCTCGACTGATTAGCGCTGTCACCAGTGGAACGCGCCGCCTCGCCCCGTCGCGGGTGATTAACGGGAAGAAACCTCATCATGAGAACGTCGAGATCCCTTTCTCATGTAAACAAATGTGGAGTTTTTTAAGGTTTCATTTTTGAATCCTCACCAGAATCAGCCGTGGAAACGTCTCTGCTGCTCAACTCCATTTCCCTCAGATGATGTTGTAATAACGTGAACAACGGAACAAGATTGGGAAAAGTCAAGTGACGATGTGAGATGACGGTAAAGGGGATTGGATCAATTGATGGGGATTTAAAATGAGAGGAGAGTAGATAAAGGGTGACATAACAGAGAAAAGACAAAGAGAGGGGATAAAGTAATGAGAAATAAGAAGGTGGTTAAACACAAAATAATTGAGTCAAATAAGAAAGAGAAGGATGAGGTGAGATGACCCAGTACTCAGAATGTGGGTCACATCGTTCGGGGCCTGTCATGGCCTGGATAAAATAGTTTGGTACACTTTTGGCTGCTAAAATTTAAAGAACTTTTTTGAGTTCCTACACTACACCTGTGTAGCCCACATCTGGTGTGCAGAATGTGGACCACATTACGAAGTTTCTGCGTGACGGACAAGAGCTAACAGCAGTATTGACGTGTCTGAGACTCCGATAGAGAGACGTCTATCTTTTAGTTCAGAAAAATAAATGGAAATAAATGAAGAGACGATTGACAAACTGATCCACTTCCAGACTCCTCGTGTTTCTCTGGGTTTTGATGGAACACGAAGAGAACGTAGTTTCTCTGGGTTTTGATGGAACACGAAATTGGTCAAGGTGCAGCTAGGAATCCACATTTTGGGCAAAAGTACCAACACGACCAAAAGGAACGTGTAGGTACTTATGATGCTTATGGTACTTATGGTTCTTACCTAGATGTTCAGGACAGAGATGGTAGAACCGAAAGAGGCTGTAACTACCACCGGACCCATTTCTTTGCTGATTTATCTGGCCTGAAAACACCGCATGCCGATCATTTTTGAGAACGCGAACCACGTGATGATCCGCTTCACAACCGGAGACTATGTGATTCGCTGACATCTGAGCTGTTTAACTCCTAGAGGTTAATCTCTCTCTCTCGCTATCTCTCTCTGCCTCTCTCTCCCTTTCCCTCTCTCTGTGTGCGCATGTGTTCAAAGGCAGCACAAGTCAAAGACCTCCTGCCGAGAGTCCAACTGAAGAATCTTCCTGAATTGTGAATGTACAGCATCACCCCTCCTCCCATAATCCTATCTTTTTATTATTCATGCATTTCCAAACGTCCTTTTTCATCTACAGTGTCCAAGAAGGACATAAAGCTGTGATCGTTGAAAGACCTTTAGCGAGGTTTGACAGTCCCTGCCTGTAGATCTTTGCTGTGAACAAATCAGTTTTATTTCTCAGGGTCAGGTCCATGCTAATTTCATTGCAAGTTTCATGTTTAGACAGAAGCAATTACTCTACCGTTATTACTTTCTTGTTTGGGTTTGTATCGGCTCGGGCGCCAATTCAATGGACCCAGAGGTTCATGGTCGGAGCAGGTCTTTGTGAGGTTCCAGCTCGGAAGACACAATTTGAATTCATGTCCTCGGTTCTTTGTGGTTTGACTGGAGGAAAACACAGCAACGCCGTCAGGCCAATCAGGAGACAGAGGAAATGAACTGATGAATGAAACTAGGTCATGGTGATGTGGAAACCATGTCTGGGTGAAGAACATAACTCAACCTTTGTGATCTTCTGGGTTTCCTACATAATCATCTCGCACAAAACGCCGCCAATGCCGATCCAGATAGAGATGCACATTTGAGCCTTTCAATTACCCAAAATAGTTTCGGAAAAGATTGAACGTCTAAGAAATACAACATACAAAAAAAACGATTGTACCAGGAACATTCATCTGCTCCAACTTCAGGGTCTGTTTGTGTTAGCAAAGAAAAGCCAAACAAGAAGGTGAAGATGATGATGGTGATGGTGATGAAGAGGATGGTTGTAAAGATGAAGATAATGGTGGCAGCGTTGATGATGATGACGATGTTAACATTTCCTCATCGTTATAATCAGTATTTACATGAGACCAGTCAACCATGTCAGACCAGTGACCTGATAACACACAGCCCCAGCTCTGTCCACTGCCCCGGAGCTCTGACCGTTGAAGAGCAGTTCACTCTCCCTGTCAGTCACTGCTCTTTTCTCTGTGGAAATTGTTCTGACCCTAATCTCCTGCTCTGTTGCCGTAATCGTTCCTCCTCAACCTTTCACTCTGGCGGAGGACGCAGCGTCTGACGCCACGGCGTACAAAAGCTGCTGTCAGAAGAGGCCGAACAAAAAGTGGGGAGAGAGGGAGACGTCTCTGTCTGTGCACGCACACACACACTCGCAGAGATGCTGATTTTAATTTGTCCTGAAGAGCAGCACTAATGTGTTTAGCCTCACTTGTCTGTGTGGCTCTGTAACACCTGTAATGAAGAAGCTCACAAAGCTGTTGGACCTTTTTCTTCTCACAAATATCTGTTCTGTGAAAACGCAACCGACTCATGAAAGTCCAGGACCTGCTCTTTTTTTTTTCTTTCTTTTTGACGTCTTAATTCTGCTGTCGTCACTTCGTCACTTCATTCACTTCCTCTGACCTTTTTTTTGTTCCAGGACCATTCAGGACTATTTCCTAAGTCATAATCAGTTTGTTCTAGGCTCTTTTTTTCCTTTGTGTCCCCGATGTCAGTGCCACCCATAATCACTGAAGTCTGATCGTCCGAGTCGAATCTCTGACCACTGTCCTCAGCCGTTGTGGTGTAGAGTCATACATCAAACGTCAGACATGTTTGATTGATACATATTCAATTTGCACAGTTGGTTGCTGGTTTGAATTCTTTGATTGACAGGTCTGTGGTTTGTTGATTGAGCACCAACCAAATGCAGAGGAGAAATGTACAAGGCCAGATAAAATTGATGATGATGATGATGATGATGAGGAGGAGGACAATTATGATGATGCTGATGATGGTGTCAGTCTGGAATTGATGATTCTGTTTGGAGGTAAATGGGTCAATTGTAACATTTGTGTCTGACGGCTCAACACGTTGTCTATTTGTTTTCCAGCATTGTGCCTGCGCTCGTGTGCTTTTGTTTTTTTTTGCGTATTTTGCTTTGCGCGTGCTTGTGTCTTGTCCTTATCTACTGTCCCGCACACATTTACCCGGGGTGACTCGGACTGCAGCCCCGCTGCTTTCCCACACAAACACACTGGAGCACACACGCGGTGTTTTGTTTAGATGGAAAGCAGATTTACAGCTGTGTCAGAAAACAGATGAAACCAGTGAGTGAGAAGCTTCAGCACCGCAGCAGGACACGAGACGAGTCCACACCTGCTGCTGAAGGACACGCTGTGTCTACGTGTGTGTGTGTGTGTGTTAGTCTTTCTCTGCGTATCCTTTGTGATTCCACAAATCCATAATTTAACTGTCACTGTAGAGCAGAGCGGTGTGTGAGTCTCCGTGTGTGTCAGTTGTTCCTTGTCTTTTAACAACATTTTTTTTCACTCTCTTTTCTTTCTTTTTTCCTCAACAGGGAACTCCCTGCAGCCTCCCCACCTTCAGCAAAAGTAAGAAAATCAATGATCTTAACACACACACACACTCACACTCACACACACACACACACACACGAGTGTTAGTGAACAGCTTTGTGAACAGAGACTCTGGTTCCTCAAACATTGATAGGAAGGTGGACTAAAACTGAAGTTTAAAAATCAGAAACAATCATTTTAATATAAAGTGATAACCAAGATTCCAGACAGGGACAGTGATTCGGTGAAGGGAAGCTCAGGTCAGACAGTACACTCCAATGTTTAGGCTCCATCTGCAGTTGCATGTGAAGAGTCTCATCTTTGGAGATCTTCTATAAAGAGAGGAAAAGGTCACAGAGGAGAGCAGCCTTCGGCTTCAGAATAAAAGACAGTCACATTTCCAGTCTTATTTAGAGTACTGCTTTATCACCACCACCTGACAGAACCTCTCTGGTGAATATGAGCTGGGTAAAATTTAACAGTAGTCCTATCCTTTTTATTTACTTCTGCTTTGTTTTTTTCACGTCGACGACACGTCCTTGTGAGTTTTGTCTGCGGTGTCAAAAACTTTTTGAACTCTTGAGTTTTAAGTCTATGTTTTTCACTTCTTTTTTATTTTTTTTTTTACTGAGTGCCTTTTAAAGCTCTGATAAACATACCAGGTTGAAATAGTAATAGATTTTTTTAATGATCCAGTCAAGTAAAAGAGAAAGAGAAGTGATGAGAGCAGATGTTGTTCACAGTGAACTAATGAGATGGAAGTGAAGCGGCAGACACTTGACATTTGCTGCCTGGTGTGTGATATTTCTGCTGCCGTCGCAGGGATTTTATAAATACACCGTAGATGCAGACCGAGAGCGCCGACTCTACTCCTGCTTGTCAATCACAGTCACACCTCCCGTCTCCGCTCAGCTCTGACTCACTGACCACGCCTCCTCATCAGACCTGACCTCATTTACCGGAGCTTCAGTTTCTGCCACTTCCTGACGAACAAACAGAAGTTGGTTATTAGTGAAGTTTGGTCTGACGTGAACGTGAGAGGGACAACAGTTGCTCTTCTTCTTCTCCTTATTCTCCTTCTTCTTCTTCTTCTCCTTCTTCTCCTTCTCCTTCTTCTTCTTCTCCTTCTTCTTCTTCTTCTCCTTCTCCTTCTCCTTCTTCTTCTTCTTTTTCTTTTTCTTCTTCTTCTTCTTCGTCTTCTTCTTCTTCTTCTTCTTCGACGACATCTTCTGTGGACGAGACTAAGACAGGGCTGAGACAGGAGATTGTTTTTTAGGTTATGAACTTTATCTTCAGACTCGGACCAAGAATCCCTTCTGTTAAATTTAAACTTAAATCAATCAAGTGCAAATAACTAGAAAAAAAAGAGTGGTAAAAGAAAAAATATGCACATACACACACGCGCACGTGCATACACACACAGTCTGCATTTCTTGGTTGGTTAATGTCAGATCAATGTCATTGATTCCTCGTCTCACTACATCATTCATTACGGACGTAAGCACACACTTTTTACCACACACACACACACAGAGAGAGAGAGAGAGACACAGTGATCATAAAGTACAGTTGACTCTGAAGGGGAAGGTATTGATGAAACATCACTGCACTAACAGAGTGAAGAACATTGATCTGGGCTCAGTACACCTTTAAACACACGGTTCAGACCATTCATTCAGAATAATTAGGATTAATTCTTCCCACTGTCAGTGAAGCTGTAAAAACACTAATGACTGTCCCTCAGCCACACTTATGTTCACACACGCTAACGCACACACACACACACTCCCCTTCACACACACATGCAGGTCAACCACACAGAAAGGAGAGCGTCAGCGGACTCATTAATCCTTAATGGCGGCAGTGAAGGTGATGATAAAAGTGATTGATTATCATTTATCAGCTTCTCTGTGGGAGATAGCCAGAAGTGTGAACTGATTCCCTTCCTGATGAATAAGTCATCAGCTCTGTTTCCTCACATCAGGATCCATAACCAATTTTTTTTTTTTTTTTTTTTTTTTGCAATTTGTGGTTCTGTCGCCAATTCAGTTTTTTTTAGTTTTTTCTACTAAAAAGGCAAAAAGATGAAAAGTGTGAAATTGATTTCACTTTGTGACAACAATGGGGGTAAATATTTCTTTTCAGCCTCTGTATGACAAGGAAAAATCCTTATCGGACTTGAAGCCGTAGTGGTGACTAAAGTTTCAACGATGCAGAATTGATCAGTTCAGTCTGACCCGTTGACTTTGTTTCTAATGTTTCTGTGAAGAAAAGCTTTTGAAAAAAAAAACTCTTTAAAGTCTGACATTTACAGCTCTATCACTTTGTTTGATCTGTCTACACACACAAAAACACACACACAGGCACATGCGTGTGCACGTGCACCTTCATACAAACCTTAACGATAATGTCTCTGTGACAGAACATGATTGGTTTCTACAGCAGGTAAATGTTCTCAGCTGGAGGAAACCAAGGCCTGAGCGGAAGAAGTTTATTCACAGCAACAGCTAACTTTTAATCACGCTGTATGGACAACACACACACACACACACACAGAGAGAGACAGAGGTTACACCAGGATACAAATGTGCTCACACATACACAGACAATAATAAAAAAAATCACTTTACTCTTGACACCAGCCTGATGCTACACCTGTTGCTGCTCTGCTGTTCAGCGTTGCCTCGTTTGGACAAACACTGAACACAGCGTGCGGCCAATTAGCTGCAGCCTTAGGCGGAGCCTCCCGCTGACTTTATAGCTCCTGACCAATTAGATGGTGTGATTTATGTCCTGACAGTGATTACGTGACGTGGCAAAGCGGCACAGATCTGAACTCTGCGCAGGTCCATTTTTCTGGAGGTTTCTGAACGTTGGTCTGAACAGGCTCTGGTTCAGTGTTTTGCAGCATGAGCATCAGAAGTTGAAAAGAAAACACCTGCTTTTGTAGGAACTGAGTTCATGCCAGTACCAAGGTTAGGGTTAGCTTGGAAGTGCTATCAGAGGAGACCTCCAGACAAATGAGGGTGTAGACTTTTGTCACACACATCCTTTGATTCACTTCTATATAGTTGCCTTCTCCATCCATTCATCCATTTTCACCCACTTATCCATTACCGGGTCGTGGGGTCAACAGTCTCCATGACCACCACCCAAATCACACTGCACCGTACCAACCCCCCTGAACCTTCCTGTGGTTCCGGTGGTGAGTCCACTGGAAGGTACCAACCGCCTTAACCTGGATTTCAATCTCGCCCAATCTTGGAGGGGACCCTTGGGGCTCCACATAGTTGCCTTCTCCTCCTGGTTCTTCTCCCTGGTAGACTTTGATGAGAACATAGTTGTAGTATTACTGATGAATCCGCTTTCTGCCATTGATAAATTTGACAAACGTTTACACCCGTACTATAAGAAACTGCTGCAGTTCTGACTCACTCAGTCCGCGACCCACTCCAGACCTAGGGTGGATGTGAGTGAAGGCCAACTTGGCCCCACCCAGACGCCGTGACATTTCTCCGTCTGGTGAATGAAACACCTGGATCTTCCAAGTCAGTAACAGTTTCACACCATAAACCCTCAAATCTTCAGATCTGTTTTTGGCCCTAATTGGAAACAATCACACTAATTGTTTTGAAAATGCTCATTAGCATAATTAACCAGTGTAATTAAGCTAAGTAAAAATCACTGCATACTTCGTTAACTGTGTTAATTTTGGCAGCGTAAAAAGCAGATATCCTAAGGTTTTAAAGGTCCTTGTCAAATTAAACAAACAAAAAAAAACAATTAAGTGTGAACAGCTGAGACGACTGAAAACAACTGGAGAAAAAAACACAAAAACAGCTGAAAATGACTGAAAAAAATGAACAGGTGAAAACAGCTAAACAGCCATCTGTTATGTATATATATATATATATATATATTCTCATACTATTCTGTTTTTTATGTGTTTATTCATTTTGCTTGCATACTGCCTTCGCTGCTGCAATATGCAAATTCCCCATTGCAGGACAAACATGGATGTTCCCAACCCTTAATCCTATTTACGTCACTATTCCTCCAACATTTGTATCAATAATGATGATTTTTTTTTTCATTTTCAACTTGTTTGGTTTTAAGTGTTGGAGCTCCTCATGGTCCTCGAGTCCTTTTTCAGTACCGCTGCTAGCGGTTTAGATTGAATTGATTGAGGAAGGCCTTGTTTCTTTTTTGGCTGGAGGCTAGTTTACTTTTTTGATCTTTGATAAAACTCCCTTTCCGTTAACGTTAACAACAGGGCTAACTATTTTATTAAAGCATTAAAATCTTAAGAAACTTTTTTCGGCTTCGGTTCTCAATCCAACAGTAAGAGACCTCATTGTTTGTCTGATATTTGTTATGTATCAGTAAAAATCCCCGTTGTCGTGGTAACGGTGTTTTAGAAACGGAATCATTCATAAATCTGACCTCGACAGACTCTTGAGTTTCGAATGAGAGTCACTACAGACCTCTTTAGGTCTAATATTTCTGTGGTCCACAACCTTAATGCATTCTGTGAGAACAACGATCAAGTAAACGAGGTCAACGGAAAAAAGTCTTTGCCATATGGCACCCACTTTCCCGACAGGAGATCGTTCTGGATGAAGTACCCATGATGCTCGAGTTTTTACCTTGTCTGCAGAGAGAATGGGCTGTACCAGGCCCTGCGGCGTGGGACTGTTCCAGCATTTTTTTTTTTTACGCTAGTAAATTCGGAAAGACAGACGGGGAATTTTAGCCCACAGCCCACTTCAGAATTCTTCTTCTGAAGATGTGGATGGACGGACGGCTTTCTTCTGGTACCTACCGCCTACGCGACTTTGAACTACAGTCTGTTTTTTGGTCCAGTTGAAGAAACCTCTACCCGTCGATTCACTCATTTTGACGGATTTACCCACAAGTCCTCCTTCCTGGCCTGAAGCTGCCAAAGTCACAGCTGAAACACATCAACACTCCATGTTTTCATTACAACCAAACTCATGCCAACTCATCAACTGTGCCCCAAGTCCTCATGAGCAGCA